ACTTTTTTTTTTTCCCCAGAAGTATAGACCTTTAATAACCTAGAATCCGAATAGTTTTGGGTCCATTTATGAGAAAGAAGGAATCTATACTTGCATTTCTTCTCTCTCACATTTTTCATATTTTCATTCATACTTAATTTGCAATGTTCCTAAGTGTGCTAAGTGCTACCCACAACATAGAAATGTGTTTCTTTATATATATTACCCGTAGGCTCCTTCAAGCACATGCCTAGAATTGAAGGATTTAGATAGCCTAATTAGAACCTTTTAAATTACTGCATTGGAAGCCAAAAAAAAAAAAAGCATTTCTCTTCACCATGAATTGAAACATCGGGTCTTTGCACTGAATATTTTTTAGGAAATGTTTCATTTTAAAATCAAAGAGAGATACATGGCCTTCCATCATTTCACTAGTCTTGTTCAAGACCCGAGTTCCCTTTGTCAAAATGTACTTTCAGTACAGTACATTTAAGATTCTTTTTAATGGAAGACTTCGACTTATTTTTACCTACCCTGGAGCATATTATCTACAGTTTCAATCAACAAAAACAGTAGCTCTCCATTATGGGAGTAGAATCCATCATTCTCAAACTTCTCATGCTCTTCGCAATTTCTCAGCTCTATTTGAAAGAGAGGGTCCCCATTCTTCTATGTCCAACCCTGTTTTCTCCGGATCCCTGCGGTCTGCGTCCCGGCGTCACGAATCTCTACGGCCCAATTACCATTCTTAGTCAATAAAAAGACTCTATACTTCAAATTTCCAGTTTCCTTCAATGGACTGCCCCTCCTCAAGTTCAGAAAAGAGGTTCTTCTCTTTTTTTTTTCTCTGGACTTGCTTGTGGTTCACCATTAGATTGTATGTCCAGAATTGCAATTCTGTGTTGTTCCTGAATAAACTCATTTTGCTGGGGAAATTTCTGTCTGTGTGCTGTTAAAGGTCAACATGCCTATCAAAAATTAGTTGATATATATGTGTGGGGTCTATTTCAGAACTTTATGGTTTTGTTGCTCTATCTGTCTATCCTTGTTCCAGTACTACACTGTCTTGATTACAGTAGTCTTGAAATGAAATAGAAGTTCTCCAGTGTAGTGGGTTTTTCCTCAAGTTGTTTTGATTATTCTTGGTCCTTTGTATTTAAATATAAATTTTAGAATACGCTTGTTAATTTCTACCAAAAAAAAGCCTGCTGAGATTTTGATTGGGATAACATTGAATCTATATATCGATATAGGGAAAATCGACATTTTTTGTAATATTGAGTTTTCTAGTTCATGTCATAGCCTATCTCTCCATTTCTTTAGATCTCACTTTAATTTCTCTCAGAATGTTTGTTGTTTTC